GCCTGTAGTTTCAGCTACTTGGAAGGCTGAGGTGGAAGGATTGCCGGAGCCCAGCAGGTTGAGGCTGTGGTGGCCGAGAGCGGCCACTGCATGTCAGTCTGTGCAAATGAGACTCCAACTCAAAAAAAAAAGAAAGAAAAGAAAAAGAAATGGAATCACTTCCTGAATCACTTATTCTGGGGAAGGCGATTGCCCTGTAAAGGTCCTACTACCCCGAGGCTGCCATGCCATGAGGAAGCCCAAGTTACTTATGTAGAGATGGGGAAAGCCCGAATGTTTCAACCCTGTGAGCCCAGGCACCAGACAAGTGGGTTGAAGAAGCCAGGTAACCCCAGCAAAAACAGAGAAAAACTGAGAAATTCAGCTATTGTAGTGTTCTAGGGCTACTGTAATAAATGACTACAAACTTACAAACACATTGTATGCCTGTATCAAAACACCACATGAGTGGGGTGCGATGGCTCAAGCCTGTCATCCCAGCACTTTGGGAGGCGGAGGCGAGAGGATTGCCTGAGCCCAGGGGTTCGAGACCAGCCTGGGCAACTTGGCGAGACCTTGTCCCTACAATAAATTTTTAAAAATTAGCCAGGAGTGGTGGTGCGTGCCTGTGGTTCCACCTGCTTGGAAGGCTGAAGCAGATGGATCACCTGTCCAGCAGGTCGAGGTTGCGGTGGCCATGAGTATGCCACTGCACTCCAGCCTGGGTGACAGAGTGAGACTCCGACTCAAAAAAAACCCCAAAACACCACATGTACCCTATAAATATACACAATGATTATATACCCATAATAATAATTAAAAAAAAAAGCTAAACACACACACACATACACAAACTAGGTGGCATAAAACAACAGAAATTTATTCTCTCACAGTTCTGGGTGCTAGAAATCCACAAACCAAGGAGTTGGCATGCTCCTTCTGAAGTCTCTGGAAAGGAATCCTTGCTTCCCTTTCACTTCGGATCGCTGCCAGCCACCCTTGGATTCCTTTGCCCTTGGCTGCCTCACTCTGATCGCTACTTCTGTCTTCACATGGACTTCTTCCCCGGGAGTGTGGCTGTGTGCCTCCAAATCTCTTTCTCCTTATAAACCAACATCAGTCATTGGATTTAGAGTCCACTCTGATCTAGTAGGGATTAACTTAATCACATCTGCAAAGATTATATTGCCAAATAATGTCACGTGCATAGATGCCAGGGGTTAGGATTTCAACATACATTTTGGAGGGACCCAAGTCAAGATGCACACCACCAACCAACAGCCTCAGATAACATGGTCCCAGATGAACCTCTCCATCCCCAATGGTTCAAGCCCGTCCATTGTGACCCCAGTTAATCATGAAACACATCCTTACCAATTCTGCTCAAATCCCTGACCCACGGAATTCTAAAATAAAAGGTTGTAGATATACATCCCCAAGTTGTATAGTATTTTGTAATTCAGCAATGCTTAGCTAGAACAATAATCTGTCTTTTCTTGCTAAGTCTTCTCATTATAATTGCCATGGAGGGCAAAGCCTTTTATGTGCTCAATACTGTATTTCCAGTACCTATGATAGTACCTGGGATATGGCAGGTGATAAAGAAAGGGAAGGAAGGAAGGACCGCATCTTCTGTGGTGCCTCACAACAAAAACTGGGCCAAAACTATGTGTTTCCCGGGATGCCATACAGCAGAGATAAGAGTAACAAGACATTTTATCTTATTTTATTTATTTTTTGAGTAGGAGTCTCACTCTGTCACCCAGGCTGGAATGCAGTGGCACACTCATGGCCACGGCAGTCTTGACCTGCTGAGGTCAGGTGATCCTTCCGCCTCAGCCTTCCAAGTAGGTGGAACCACAGGCATGTGCCACCATGCCCAGATATATATTTTTTTATTTATTGTGGAGACGAGGTCTCACCAAGTTGCCCAGGCTGGTCTCAAACCCCTGGACTCAGGAAATCCTCTCACCTCTGCCTCCCAAAGCGCTGAGATTATAAGCATGAGCCACTGCACCCGATTTCTTTTCCCTTTTTTAATAAAAGTTTATTTTATTTTATTTTATTTTTGACTCAAGATCTTGCTGTTACTCATACTACAGCACGACCACGGCTCACCGCAGCCTCAAACTCCTGGGCTCAAGCAATCCTTCCTCCTCAGCTTCCTGAGCGATTAAGACTATAGGTGCATGCCACCACACCCAGCTAATTGTTTATATTTTTCTGTAGAGATGGGGGTCTCACTACATTGCCCATGCTGGTCTTGAACTCCTGGGTTCAAGCAATCCTCCCACCTCAGCCTCCCACAGTGCTGGGATTATAGGCATGAGCCACCACTCCCAGTGAATTTTATTTATTTATGTTTTTTTTGAGTTGGAGTCTCACTCTGTCGCCCAGACTGGAGTGCAGTGGCTGCTCCCGGCCACTGCAGCCTTGACCTCCTAGGCTCCAGTGATCCTTCCACCTCAGCCTTCCAAGTAGCTGGAACTACAGGTGCGTGCTACCATATCCGGCTAATTTTTTGATTTACTGTAGAGATGAGGTCTCCCCAAGTTGCCCAGGTGGGTTTCGAACCCGCGGGCTCAGGCAATCCACTCACCTCAGCCTCCCAAAGCGTGGGATTACAGGCTGAACCACCGAGCCCGACTTATTTATGTTTTAATACAGATGAGAGTCTTGCTATTTTGCCCAGGCTGGCCTCAAACTCCTGGCCTCAAGTGATCCTCCCTCCTCAGCCTCCCAAAGTGCTGGGATCATAAGTGTTAGCCACAACACCTGGCTATTTAAAAGGATATTTTCTGTGATACCTCACAATTAAAATTAAGGCTAAGTTTGCCTTTCCCATGATTTCCTACAAGATATTGAGGCTTGGGATGCATCCCCTACGATGCCTTATGGCAGGGATTGAGGTTAGGACTGCATCTCCTATGAGACCTTATGGCAGAGATTGAAAACTAGCATTACATCTCCCATGATGCCCTATGGTGGGGACCAGAGGATAGAAATACGTGTCCCATGATGCCCTCCGGCAGATACTGAGGCCAGGGACAAATTCCTCAATACCTGCACCATAGCTTGGGATCGGGACCTCATCATTAAAGGCTCCCAAGTTTTGTTTGTTTTTTTTGAGTTGGAGTCTCACTCTGTCACCCAGACTGGAGTGCAGTGGCCGCTCCCAGCCACCGCAGCCTCGACCTGCTGGGCTCCAGTGATCCTTCCGCCTCAGCCTTCCGAGTAGCTGGAACTACAGGTGCGCGCTACCACGCCCGGCTAATTTTTTGATTTATTGTAGAGGTGAAGTCTCGCCTGCCCAGATGGGTCTCAAACCCACGGGCTCAGGCAATCCACTCACCTCAGCTTCCCAAAGCGCAAGATTACAGGCTGAGCCCCTGAGCCCGGCTCTGGCTCCCAAGTTTTTGCTCAGGAATCTTTGGTTGAAATAAAGTCTGTTTGTGCTGATTTAAGCAAAAATGATGTTATTGGAAGTTTAGACTTCCAGCAAGAGCTAGGTCTCCAGGCCTCACTAGGGACAGGAAACAACTGAAAAGCTGGTAAAATAAACGTTGTCTCCCTCTTGTAGAATCTCAGTCTCTCTCCCTCCCTTCCTCCTCCTTCTCCCCCTCGCTCCCTCTGTCTTCTTCTCTCCCTCACACTCTGTCTCACTCCCTCTCTCTTCTCTGGTT